GTGTGTGTGTGTGTGTGTGTGTGTGTGTGTGTGTGTGTGTGTACTGCTAGACAAGCATCCCATCTCTGGAATACAACCCTAATCCTCTCTTTACTTTCGTTTACTTTCTAATTTAGTTGCCTAGACTGCCTTTGATCTTTCTGTCCTCCAGTCTCAGCCTCTTGAGTAACTAGAACTTGGAGGCCTATGCCAAGGCCTGGCATGATATAAGACAGCTGATACCAAGTGTGCATTCTGGGCGTCATAGCTGTCTGGGATGGGGTTGGAGAGGAACACCTGATTGCAAAGGCAGCTTCAGGGGACGTTCTTTACTGCTGGCTTCTGAACATTCCTTGCAAAATGGCTTTCACAAGGACAACAGTTTGTGATAGCTTGTTTGTCAACTTGATCTAACTTAGAGTCACCTGAGCAGGAAGTCTCAATGAGGGATTGCACAGATCAGGTTGACTTAGCAGGTGTTTGTGGGTGTGGTCTTGACTGACTTAATCAGAGAGGGAGAACCAGCCTGAAAGCTGGAGCACCATTGCCTGGTTTGGGAGCATGGACTGTGCTCGAGTGGAGAAAGCCAGCTGGGCAGTAAACATGCTTGCATGCATTTCTCCTGTCTGCCAACGGATGTGATCTGATTAGCTGCTTCAGTTGCCTGCTTCGATGTCCCCTTCTCTTCTAAGTTGCTGTTGTCTGCGTATTTTCTCACAGCAACTAAAATGAAGCTAGGATCCCACCTAAGGAGCAGTTCAGTGGTAGGTGAGACACGAAGCTTGAACTCAGCTCTCTCTCTCTCTCTCTCTCTCTCTCTCTCTCTCTCTCTCTCTCTCTCTCTCTCTCATCTTGGCCGGTTCTGAAAAGCACTTGCTTGCTGAACAATGTCCAGCAGGAAACAGCGGATTCTGCCTGGGTTTCTCTCTGCTACAACAGATCATTTATCAGCATCCCTTTCCAACAGCTTCCCCCAGGATTCAATGTCCAGGAGCAAGGGTCATGTGTTCATCCCTGAACCAACCCCTAGCAAGGTGGATATCCCCACTGAGCTCTGAGTCCTGTGGTCCAGACTTGGACCCCAGAATCTGGACTCTGATGTGAGGGAAGAGGGCAATATGGAGACTCAAGTTTTCTCCACAATTAATGCTCAAATGCTGTTGAACACAGGACACATTTTTATGCCCTGGTCAATGGTGACAGTAGTGAGGACAGGCCCAGGACCTTTGCCCTTCTGTCCCTTCTCTCAGTCTTTAATGTACCCTGCTTTAAAAAGCCCAAGGGAATTGCCTGGAAGGGAGGTGGCAGGATTTTGGCCATGTGTCCTACTCCAGCTGTAGCCACCTCATGCTGGGTGCCTGCTGAGAGCACTGGTTTTTCTGAAGGTCCATGCTGGGGAGGAGGGCAGGATTCCTGCAGGTTCCAGATGCAGCTGTTTCCCCTAGAGAGGATAGACTTATACAGGGCAGGAGTAATGTGCCCAAAAGGGAAGTAAGAGAAAAGGGGTGTTTGCATTCTCCAAAGCCACGCCTTTCAACTCTTTCATAATTTCCTGAAGGTAAAAGGCCCCTAAGCCACAGTCAAGAATAAGTTTTCACCTTCCCCCTTGTCTCCACATAAGTGGCACTGGAAGGACTCTGTGGGTGCTGAGTCCTATTGGAGCTGTTTGCTGAGCCTTCCATTTCTCTGCTGATTTTATCACTTGGATTCCAGAGTGAACACCTAGCCAGGCAAGCATGCTGCCCCCAGCTGCTGCTCCCCATCGGGTCCTCATGTTCTCTCTTCTCCCTCACAGCTGTTGCAGGATGCACCTCAGGCCTCCCCAAGCATCATGGCTGCTTGGCAAGATAGGAAGTCCTGTGTGCCACCCCGCAACACCCAGGCCACTCACAGAGCCCTCCATTTTGGGGACACTCCCCCCAGCCACTTGCTATTCAAGCTTCCTCGGGAACTGCTGAAACCAAGGTATTTTCTCCTTTTCTTTTTCTTTCTCTTCAAAAAAACCATATTTTCTTGTTCCATTCAGTGCCAGTCTCTCCCAGAGAAGTCTCATCCCCAGGACTCCATGCTCAGAAAGGAGATGTTGTCGGTTTTTGGGAGACAGTAGCCTGCATATGACAGGGGGTGTAGGGCCTTGTGTCCTCCCCCTCCTCTATAGCTGGAATGGAAAAGTGACTGCTGCTACTGCTCAGGGCCCAGACATCAGCTTAGCTCTGCCTGGGACTTGACAGTGTTCTAAAAATAAGGCTGCTCTCCCACCCCACAAGCCAGTTGTTATTTGTGTGATTAAGCACTGTTCTTCTCTTGTGCTCTGTATTGAAAGGGAAATCATTCTCTTAGGTAGCCTTGTGCCAGATAGAACATTCCCAGAGAATGCTTTTAGACATTTTATGCTAACAGTTGTCAGGGAGGAGGGGCTGAGTGAAAACGCTAGTGATGTGGGAAGGAGGAAAGCAAGGTTCGTCCTTTACAGGTATCTGGGAGGAAACACAGGGAAAAGGTGCCAGGCATTTCCCCAGACTCAAGTTTTAAACAGCAGCACAAGGGCCCAGGGGTCAGAAAGACCTGGCTTGAACTCTTCACTCTCAGCCTGTGCTTAGCTACACACTGGCTGTCATATGCCAGTTTGGCTTCTTGGCAACATGGATGCCTGTGTGGGTCTGGAGAGACAGGGCTTTAGTATGGGAAGTGAAAGGCGGTGGGGAGGGGACAGGAGGTCAAGAGCCTGAGACTGGGATAGGGCCACAATGGAGAATGGAGTGGGCTTCGGGTGCTGGGAGCCTGGGCCCTGTAGCAAGCCTTGACATGTGTATGTCTTTGTGGCCTTCATACACAATGTGACTCTTGTAAGTCTACATTTTCCTTCTGAGCTTGCCTGACATTTTACCTAAGGGTTACAATTGTCTCCACTTTCTCATTGGTTAAAAGGGGCTAATTACTGATTTCCTGACAATGGGGACAGGTTAGTAGCTTGAAAGGAGACTGTCCCTTGGAAGTCTACTCAGTCACAGGATGACTCACATATATGACAGAATGATCCAAAGGAAAATCCTGAGCAAGCAGTGACCCCTAGGAAGAGTCTCAGAACCTCTCATTTGCCAAAATTCAGCTTGTAGAAGACCAGAGCAGGAAGGGAGGCCCCATTGTCTAACCCTGCTCTCTTGGCCAAGCTGACCTTAATGACAACAATCACTTATCTTAAAGAGATGGCATCAGCAGATGCTGCCCTGGCTGTCCCAGCTTTCCCCCAGTTCTTCCTAGCTTCTCCCCCTCCAGCTCCCCCCCCCCACCCCACCACCC